AGAGAGAGAGAGAGAGAGAGAGAGAGAAGGCCGTCACTCCGCTGCTGGGGCCAGGGAGAACAGGACTGGGAGGAAGAGCAGCCTGCCATCAAGTGCTCCAGTCTCAGGGAAGAGCAGTATCACCTTGGAGGATCGCTAATGAGACTCAACAGACTTTCATTATTCATTGTGTTTCGAGACAAAAGATCTTTCTGTTCCTGCTTTATGCCGAACCATTTTTAAATTACCTGGAGATGGAAACTGGTTTTGAGAGCCCGAAGAACAGTCCCTGTTGGCAACGTGCACCCCCCCCCCTTAAGGAGGGCGTAGCACTTTAGCCAAGACCCTAGAAGCTGATCCAAGTACATCATAAAGCCTTAGGGAGAATTCACTGGAAGATGGGAGACAGCGTATATTGCACACCGCAGAGCGGAAGTTAACGAATGTGCTGGTTGGACTCTTCTGTTCTCTCTGCCCAGAATTTCCTTCTTGGCTGCCAGCCCCCCATCTCCTATTGCCCCCTTGCCCCAGGCTTCACCCAACTCCCCGGTCAGCTCTTCCCACCACCCCCTGCCTCCTGGGCAGAGCAATGCAGAGACCACCAGGCTCATCCTACCTTGCAAACGCCCCTCCCTCTGAACAGAGTAGCTCTTGGGAGGCTTAGCATCTGCTCTCCTTGGCTTTGACTGCGGGAGATGTAAAGAAATAATGCTTCCCTCTTATGAAGATTTTCTCTTTAACCCCAACCCCCTTTTGACATTATTAAGAAAAACATCACTTTCCTCTCCCAAATCACCTTAAATGAACTCAGAGTCTCTAGAGGTTAGAGGAGGAGGACCGTGGAGAATGAGACAAGGCTGAAGAATTAATTGATATCCTCTTGCCTAGTGAGACGGCCCCCCCCCCGCCCCCAACATGCAGCAGGTGCTCCAACGGGTGGGCTCCTGGCTTTGGTCTAGTGACCTGGCTTCAGCCTGGGGCCCATTCAGCTGTGACCCAGGACTGACTTCCGATCAGGTGTCAGCAAATGCACGCCACCTGGCTTCCCTGCCTCAGTTTCCTCATTTGTAAAAGGGAGGCAGTAATCCCCTTCCTGTCTACTTCTCAAGGTTGCAGTGAGGATCAGAAGAGTTAATGGATGGGAGGGCACCAAGGAAGCAGAAAGAAATAAAATCCTCCCCTGAGCTCTCAGTACTATAGCTTTTGGCAAAATTGTGGGGAAGGTAAATGAGCCTTTGGATGTTACCACCTTTCTCCCCGCTTTCTTCCCTCCTTGAGCCATTTTCCCTCTGTTTGCTCAGGTCCTGCCTGCTCATCCCGCACATGAGGATCCTTTCTGGGTAAAGGGTCAGCAGCTGTTTACACCTGAATGGAAATTTCAACCCATATCCCCTCCGCTAGCCTCTGGCGCTAACCCTGGCCTCCGACTGTGGTGTGAAGGCTTTGAGTGCACCAATGGTAGGTTCCTGGGTCATGCTCTGGGGTTTGGGTTCTGTGGGTTTGGGTCAGAGCCTAGAAATCTGCCTCTCATATGAGCAATCCCAGAGATTCTGGATCAGGTGCTGTGCTTGTGGAACACAGAAGAACACTGATTCCTAGAGTTAGGGACTTTAGGGAGAGTTGGGGGAGGCGTTTCAGGGTGGGAGGGGATCCCACTGCTCTCACACCAAGGCAGAGGCCCCAGTCCTCCCAGGGCAGGTCTCCTGCAGTCATCACAGAAAGACATTGCTTTTTCTTTTTTAAAAAAAATATACTTTATTGATCTTTTACAGAGAGGAAGGGAGAGGGATAGGGAGTTAGAAACATCAATGAGAGAGAAACATCGATCAGCTGCCTCCTGCACCCGCCACTGGGGATGTGCCCCAAACCAAGGTACATGCCCTTGACTGGAATCGAACCTGGGACGCTTCAGTCCGTACGCTGATGCTCTATCCACTGAGCCAAACCGGTCAGGGCAAGACATTGATTTTTCAAGAAGAGTGGCCATCATTGCCATTGTTACAAAGCCTTTTAATCCCAGCCCACCCTCCCCACATCTTGGGAAGTCAGGCAGTACAGTTCCTAGTTCTCGGGGACAAAGCTGAGGCCTCCAGAGGCTGGGTGATGGGTCTCACCCTCCATGATTAGAGCAGATGAGAACTCGGGGAGACTGCCCCCTGGCCCGTGCACGTGCCTGTATATGCATCACTGCCTGTAAACTCCTCCTGGCAGGAAGTGGTGGTGACGGGGTCTTCCCTGAGCCTCACTTCCTTTCTCTAATTGTCACTGAATAACGTCATGTCTACTTCCTCAATATCTAGACCCCACCACCTTCTCCATCCCCACCCACCACCAAAGTCCTGGCCCAGAGGCCAGCTCCACTCCTCTGGGTCCCCTTCAGTGGTGTGGCAGGCACCAAACAGGGTGTCTTCCTGGCTATAGTCACCCCTTCTTGGGCAACGTGGCTAACAATGTCTAGTCTAATGTGGCCCAGTCCTCTAGCATAAATGATTGGTGCAGAGGTGGGTCCCTGGTCTGGAAGACCAAGTGGAGAGGAGGAAAACCAAGGGGGTGGGGTCTGACGTCTACATGGGTAGAGGCTGGGTTTTGTGGGAGATCAGATGTTTCATCCCCAGGAAGAGGAAGGCAGGCAAAGAACCTGAGTGCAGATGCAGGAGGGGTGATGTGTGAGTGTGGCTGGCTCTTCTGTTAGCTTCTGTGTCCACAGGGTACTAGGGGGCAAGTGAGGTGAGGAAGAGGGCTGAGATTTGAGGATCCAGAAGAAGGTAGGAAACAGTCAGGTGGGAGAGTGGCTACTCCAGGGATGCACTGAAGCAGTGCCAGGCACACCAGGGCCCATTTGGGGTGAGCAAACGTGAATGGGTGTCAGCATGGGTGAGCCACCCTCAGATACTTCTATCTCCTCTTCGCCTTCCCCAGAAGGGCCCCATTCTCTGGGGAGGCGGAGGAGAAAACCACCTGGGCAGGTGCATCTGTAGAAGGTCAAAACCCAGGTACAGGTCACCTTGGCCACCTTCAGCTCCCTCTCCCAGAACTCTCAATGGGCCCTGCTGGCCTGTACCGTAGGCCTCCCTACCCCTCACCCCTCACCAGTCAAGGGGGAAGAAGGGGGAAGAACTGATGACTCTGGAGGGAAGTGGGGGTGGGGGGTGTAGGGGG